TATGTTTTTATTTCTTAACTTTGCTTAAAAACATTATCTGCATAAATCATAATTTCTGAAGGTATAACTTTTACATTAGAAAATTATTGACTATTAATTACATGTAGTAATTGCGATTATTTAAATGTTACTTATAATTATTAATATTTTAAGAAATCTTTATGATACAGCAATTAAATTTGTTAATTAACGAAGAAATTATTTTTTTTCTTTTTGTTTGTATCAATTTTGACGAAGTTGCGTTTAATTTGTGTTGCGTTAATGTTGATGTAGATTAATTGTGCATTTTGCAACCGTTTAAAATCAGCATCGTTCATCAGCATAATATTTACGGTCGGTTTGAAGGAGTAGGAGAGTGAATGAATGAATGAGTGAGAGTGCGTAAAGAGGAGGTAGCCCCAAAATTATTTTATTAACCGCGTAACGAAGTTATCCCCGACGCAGCGCCGATTAATCTCACTCTCGCACTTTCACGAATTTTTAATTAACAACGACATTAATAATCATACAAAAATCAACTCAATTATCAACAAATTATCTTTAAAAATAATGTAGATTTTTTTTGGTAATTCGTAAATTTAATAATTAGTATATAGAAATGATCTTCATAAGTAATTTATACCTTGTCCAAAATTATTGTAAACATTTCTGTAAAGACGTTTTAACTAACTATACAGTAAGACGTCGATTATCCGTGGTAATTTGGGAACGATAAAGTAGGGATAATTGAAAAACACGGTTAATATCATTGCTATTGATATGCAAAAACACATTTTTAATCAGTTTCAAAGGTAATCTGCAATTTTGTATTGGTTTCGTTGTAAAATTATGTACTAAAAGATTTGCTTAGACAATTTGATTGTTTGACTTATAAAATAAGTCAACACAAAGATAGCTATGACCATGGTTAACCCAAATCACAGGTATAACGATAATAAACATATAGCGATTGTTTTAATGTTGTAACACAACGGTGCTATACGAAATACAAATGTAAAGTATAAAAAAACTGGCCGCCACTTCTCGTTTACTCGAGAAGATTGTTTAACGATTCGCAGTTGCAAATGATTAATCGTTATGCAGATGTTATTTATCGTGACGATTCGCGACTGTTTAAACGTTTAAGAACCGCTGTGTTTCATTGCGACGCAGATGAGAAGCGTTTTCATAGCTATCTAAGGCGATTTTTATAATAATTTCATTAATTTTTTTAATACTTTTTTATCGAATATGTAAATGTTTCAACACTTTCATTTGCGTTAAAACCTAAGATCGAAAAACGTGAAAAATGTATAAAAAAGAGTAAATTTGAATTAAATTATAATGAGATTTTGCTTTTAATACAAAAAAGTGTATTATTTAATATAAATATTGTATTAGAATTGAACAATTAGAACAAAAATTTAGAAATATTTAGATAATTAATATGAATAAAAATAGATTAAAATAATAATAAGAGTAAATAATTCTTAAATTTATTTAGATTTAGTTTGAATTTTTGGATGTGATTTCTCCAAAATTAAGTTTTCAATCATAAATATGCAAGATACAAGATTTTTTTACTTTTTTTCATTTTTGATAATAATTAACAATTAGAAAATTATTTATTAATGTTTAATAATAAAATAAATGGATTTTAATCGCATCAAGCACATTTGTAATCAATTCACGGTTTCTCCGTTAAAACTCTTTAATTAAAAGGTAAACGCACTCTAAAGGCTTGTTGATTTGAAATCCTCCTGTTCCATTTAATTTACAATAAAGTTACTACCTTTCTGGTAATATTAATTACTACTAAATAATTAAAATTACCTTCATCACTGCCTTCAAGTATTTGAAGATTCGCAATAGCTTCAAAAGTTTGGATGTCTTTTTAGTTGTAATTAATTTTATGCACGAAATGAAGTAATTAATGAAGCGACTATATTATGATCTACAGTCACTCAAATCAAATGGCATTTGTATTGTGTTTTTGAATGAATAAATAGTGATGTAGTAGTGGAATATATGAAGTGTGTGGGTGGGAATGGGGAGGTGTTTCGAAGGTGCAGAGAAGGATGTGTTTATGTGTGTACGAGTGAGAGGAAGAGAGATAGATGTGTGTGAGTGTGCGAGTAACAGGGGGGTGGCATGAATGTTTCAAAGCGATATTAATAGGACGGGAAGGTCATAGCCGGTGCCGGGAAATCGGGAAGCGAGTGCAGTCCAGGAAGGTCCTCAGGGACATCAAATACAAATGTACACATACATATAGTACATCCATCCATCTGGGCTATGTATATATATATATGTGTGTATATGAGTGAGTGTCTATATGGAACATGTAGAACGTACAGCTCATAACCGGTCGGGTCGTGTACTGGCCATTACCTTAACATCTGTACAATGATGTTGGCCGCTACTTAATTCGGATATAATTAAACTTAAAATGGAATTACTATTTATAACTGAAGGGAATTGCGAGAAGGAAGGGAGCAACTGCAGCAGTATCAGCAGCAGCAGCAACGACGCGAATCATTAATGACCTTATTAATATTCGTTGCTCTCTTCAGGCCTCTTCTCTTCACATTTCAGACGTCGTCCTATCACAGAGAATCTCGTAAACTTTACACACACACATATTGTTGGGAATATGGGAAATTCGCCTCAGGGAGAGCGTTTGTTATGTAATCCTGAGCGCTCTCCAACTGCATCGGACTTCTTCTCTGATGCACAAGAACTGAACAGGTTTTTTTTATAGCATTTAGCAGAAAAAACGCGCACGCCGGAGCGACAGATTTCATTTCCGCAAAAGAAAGCATTTAATATATGTATAAAACAAAAATGGAAATCTTAAAGTGCAGCCTTAAACTACAGGCTTTGATGACTCAGATCTTAACATACTTAAAACGTTTTATTCTACTTTTCTGAAAATAGAATCCTTGACCTTAAAATGATTCTATTTCATATGATTTCTATGCATATTATGTAAGAGTTTATCAACTAAATACACGTTACAAATTAAATAATGATTAAATTAATAGACATTAATTTCAATTGAATTCGAATCGAAAAACTGTTATGTCCCAGGGATGGAATATGGAATATGGTCTTGTGGAATCTCAGTTGTTGGGAATTTAATGAAATTCGTTTGGTTTCACATAACTTTATTTATTACTTGGTCGATTTAAGATTCATCTGTGACTATGCTCATCATATTAAGATTCTTATAAGACTATGTTCATTTTTACGGAGACTACTTCTAAATACTTATGTTCTCTGTAGGTTCTGTCTATTCTGCATATTAGTTCTTATAGATCATAATCCTCAGTGGTACAAAAACTTAGTAGTACAAAAACTTAGTACAAAACTTTGGATCTAAACATATTCAAATTTAATTGAACATAAATTCTTGACATAAATAAACAAATATTTTCTGTGAGAAGTATAAAAACAATAGAAATTTACTTTAATAGAATATTTACCGATTGATGTAATTTCAGTTATCCAAAAGTTAATCTCAAAAAAGGCTTAAAAAAATTTGTTGCATTAAAATATCAGAGAGTTTGATTGGTATTTCGATAATCGGACATTTCATACTTAATGACTTAATAATGCGTTGAAAATTTCATAAAATACAGTTAGAATAGTGTTGTTTATATGAAAATAGAACTGGTTGTAAAGTTGGTGAAATATATTTCAATATTGACTGAATAATTTTGGAATCATTTAAATGCAAAATGTAATTTCTATTATTTGTACAACGAGAGAGTACAACCGTTTTGTTTATATTAAATTTGTTGTTGTTGTTATTGTTGTTGCTTTCGTTTGTGTAATTGTAAAATAACAATAATCGTAATATTTATTTGACCAACAGATGTATGGAATTTAAATTCACAAATTACAAATAAAATAATATTTTAATAATAAATTAAGTGAATTTAAATATTAAAAGATTTTCTTTTGTCGTATACATTTTATTTGAAAACTTTACTGAACTAAATTTTAAAACATAAATGATCTTTCTGTTTCCTCTTTATACAATCAAGTTTCGTTATTTTTAGGTTTTAAAGTCTTCGATTAGTTCGGTTTCGAACAATCCTATGCAAGGTAATTGTTGTACATCTTACATACATGGATTAGAAACAGAGAGTCGAGCCGGAACTGAACCGACAACCGTAAACCGAAATTAACCGGATTTTTTTTAACTGAACCGGAACCGGAACGAAAAGAGAAAATTTGAAGAAGAAAGTGCAAAAGAAAATTGTCAAAAGAACAAACTCAAATGAAAGTGACTAAAAAAAGACATTAATGTAAGAAATGACTGAAGAAACACTACAAATTGCATGTGTTGAACTAATCAAGAATATTTTATTTAAAGATTTCAAATTAATATTAAGTTAAAAATTAGTTAAATAATAAATTAATAATGATGGAACGTTGAGATACTACATTATTAATTTAAACTTTGAAAAGTTTTGAATTTTTGAATTTTGATTGCGTATTTTACGTTTTTTTCTTTTGGATAATATAACAAAATGAATATTTTGTTTGGGAAAAATTGAAATGGTTTTCGTTTATTTGCGTTATGCAGCATTTGTTTATGTTGGTGTTGTTAGGGAAATATTTATGTTTGCTAAAACAAAACACGTATGAAAAAAAAAACAAACGAAATAGAAATTTAAAAAAAAATGGCAGAAATAATGATTCGTTGGGTTAAAGGGTTTTTTTGTTTTTTCGGTAAATTTTGCGGTGGAGCGTTTCGTGTATGGAGTTAATATAATGGAACGTGTGCAATCAATAAAAGTTCATAACAGTTCTGATTGCAATTCAAAAATCTATACACCGTCAAAACGCCACTAATTTGTCAGAAGCGAATACGGCATCAGATAGGGGTAGATGGACGGAGGGCGTGCGCCGCGACGCCCGAGCATGCGCACAACGCATCACTTTTCATCCCCCACCATCGAAAAGAGGTGCCCCCACCACGACCGGCGGCGGCGTCGTCGTCACCCCCTCGTCGAGCGTACGTGCACATATACGTAGAGGGAGGATGCATACACGTATTGAGAGGGTGCGAGACTCCAGGACTCTCCGGCCGCAGGACTCCAATGGACGAAAGGACTAGCAGGCCAGTACGCATCGAGCTCACCCCCTGCACAGGGCTGCACCGCACCGACGATCAACAACAATAATACATATATACAACTGTTTGTACGAAGAGACGCGAGAACGGAACGCTGCAACATCATCATCATCATCAACCTTCAGATATGTCGAAGCAACGGTTGCCAACCAACGATTGGTGAACAATTGTTGTTGTTGTTGTTAACAAAAAAGAAAGCATAAACTTTGTTTCTGTTTTACGTTCGGTTCGACGGATTGAAGTGATGGACTGACAAGTGCGGGAAAGTTTTTTTTTGTTGAAACAATTTTCTTTTGATTTTCCGCCGACGCCTTGATTCAACATACTCTCCGAATACAATACAAATAGAGCGACTTCAAAGTACTGCCCTGCCATCATCATCATCATCATCACTCTCTCGACTTGAACGGTGGTTGTTAAAGACTTTACGATTGAGCGGTACTCGTTTGATATTGGGACGATGTACTCGCCGGACAAGATGATGGGCGCGAAGGGGCCCACGGGCCTCCACGGGCCCATCACCTCCACCGGGGCCTGCTTCCCGGGCCGATACTCGCCGACCTACAGGAGCCCGGAACCGATGGCCAGACGATGCATGCCGAATCCGTCGGTAAGTAATTCTTTCCAATCATTTTCCAATCAATCAAATACACACTTTACACACACACACACAATTCACACTTAATCCAAGAAGGAAGCAAGTATACACATTGAATCGAAGGAGAGGAAAGCGTTTTGAGAAGCGACGGTTAAAAAATGTGTAGAGGAAACGCCGAAAACCCGAAGCACCCTCATTTTTTATTCACACACTGTTGACACTTTAATAAGTAATAACCGAAAACCGCCACGGGAAATGCATACATACACACACACACACAAACACGATTAATTAAGCACGAAACCAAAACGGAATCCACTATACAATAGCTTTCCGCAATTCACAAGTCAAAATATTTAGATTTTTATACTTTTCAAAGAATGTGCATGCGCCGGGCATTATTCTTCCCAACATTATTACTATTGTTATTTTTATAATTAATTTCATGTTCATCTTCTAATACAATATTGCTAAACTATTTATTGACTTATAATTTCTTACAAATCTTGTTCATTTAATTTATATAAAATTAAAGATTTTGGGTTGCTAAAGAAATGGTGGATGCGCCGGGTGTAAAAATATTTTAAGAAAATGATTTAATGTACGAACAAAACATGTATTCCATCGAAACGATTCATAGAAATGAATTAGTAATAAGTTATTTAAAATTCAACGTATTTTCATATAAAAATTGGTAATGTAAGTAATACTATTAAATATAAAAATATTAGTTTAAAGTTGAAATACGTGTGTGGTGGAAGCGCCGGTTAAATATGTTATATTTTACATATTTTAATTATTTCTTTGATAATTTTACTATTATAAATAATGCGAACGTGTTCTATAGTATAATCTTATTAAATGATATTTTTCAATTCAAGAGTAATAACGAAGGTAAATAATTGTTGTTAAAAGTAAATTGTGATCAAATTGTGGAATTAAATTAAAATTTTACCATAAAAAGTACATTAAATTGTAATAAAATCTCCTAACTATAAATGATAACTGATCAAATTTTACTAAAAAAAATGCATTGATATTATTAATAATGAAACTTTAATAACTATTCTAATAAATTGCAATAAAATTAAATAAATTTACTTATAAACCATAATAATTACATAAACATGTATAAAACTAACTGATTGAAACTTTATCAAACTTTGTTAATATGTACATACATACATTGTATACTTATTAATTCGACAAGCAATTATATTATACACAATATTTACGTTAAAATTGTTGAGCTTTTCAATTTGTTACATGCAAAGTTGCGATAACTAAGTTACATAACAATTATGCAGATGCAAGCGGTCGTGAAAAGGTCACCGACGCACGATTTCCATAATAAAGCAAATATCTCTCAAACGAAATTACAATTTAAAAATAGGCATTCCACTATATTCCAGTCAACAACGATACATTAAACTCGTCTAAAAATACAACTTAAATGCAAACACTTTAACGCTGTTGCATTTTTCTCATAGATTTTAAGAATAAATTAAAAAAGAAACACGTGTAGAGATTTCGCTTGCATTTTTAAATATGATTGAAAATATCTTTAAAGAAATTGTACTTTCTTAAAGAAATACTGTATTTTTATTGAAGAATTGTTATAGTTACAATTATTTGACAATAATTTCAGTACAATTCTAACATTTTTCTAAATTATTTATTTGTGACTAGAAAAAAAAAGTTTTTTTTTTAATTCTACAAAATTAGTGGATGCAAATAATTTGTTAATTTATAAAAGGAAATGAACTATTGTGTTTTCTGTTGTTGCAATAGGTTACTTTTGGTGGATTTCGATTGTTCTAATTAACAGGCAATAATAACTTTATAATACGATGCGCCAGCTTCCGTAAGTAATGAAGGGTTGGACTGTGGATGAAGGATGTTAATTGCAAAATTGGAGGCAGAAAAGCTGGGGCGTTTTTAAGCACGTTACGTAACGCAAATTTTATATGTATGTATATAAAAATGTGCTGTATATATTGGGTTGCGAGAGATAGAGATGTCGGGGAGAGATTTGAATGAAGTGGAATTTATTTTATTCGCGTGACACGTGAATTGCAGAAGGGGCGGCAGTTTGTGTGTGTGTGTGTGTGTACATATATGTGTTTGTATATATGTATATATGTTGGAGAGAAGTCCGGTAATGGAGCTTTCGATCCTGGAGCTTTCCAACCACAGATCGACTCAATAAACTGAGAATTGCCTGTTTCGGCAGAGAGAGAGTATCGAACGAATGCTATGCTATGCTATATACCCACACTCACACAGAGATAGTAATAATACACTTCAACTCACTTACACACTTCTACCCTGAAAGAGGGAGAGAGAAAGGAGAGACAAATTCACCTTGCTTTTATTTTATTTTTATTACATCTTTTCCTCCTGCTCTGACTCCCACGCCAATAGACACGACACACGCCACACCACCACATACACTTACTTGTGTGTATGTATATATATATACACGCATGTATGTAGTAGGCCTTTATGGTATCGCCTCGTGACTCGGTTTTATTTTTATCCCGCACGCACAACTTTGCCACTTCCGAAAAGCAATAACATCCAACTACTTGAATGTCCTCGATGTACGTACAAGTAGTATATATTTTTTTGTTGGAAGACCGGAGCGAAAAACTCTTAACTTTCTGCAACCCAAACTTGTTGCCTCCGAACGGTCGACGCGAAAGAAAAAAAAAACTGAAAGAGAGAAACCCAACTTAAGAAAAGTGTGCAACTCGCATCTTCTTTACGTTACTGCAATTTTGTATATTTCTTTACTTAATTTGTTTTTTCTTGCCGAAATTGTCGGTTTTGTAAAATGTTACATTCAAACAATAAATATTATGTAACAGTTATTAATTGTTAGTGTATTTACAATTAACCAGTAAATTAATGAATGGTGGATGCGCCGGGTAATTGAATGTATTCTGCATTCATTCCATTGAGACAATTATGTTATTTTTCAAAGTATTGTTTAACCCTTTCAAGGCAACAACAAATTTAAAAGTTTCTACCGGTTTCTAGTAAATACCATTTAGGAATATACGTTGCCTATGTAGCAGAGATAGTGTTCATTCAGATGGTGGTAACAACCATTGTGAATGCATATGTTATATTTTGAGAAAAAAATACTAATGAGATGCCATCAAAGATGTTTCGTCTAGCAGTTGCTACTGGCCTGATTGGTGCTGCACCAGAAAATATAAAACGTGGTAGAAAGTCAAAGGAAACTGAAGGAAACAAATACAAAAAAATGTGTGCCACAAGAAGTTAGTTATGATAAATCAGCACATATGCCTTAGATGTGCACACTGCAGCACTTCAAAAGAAGTGCATAGAACTATTTGGAAATGCTTGACTTGTGGGCTTGTGTCTTAATAAAGACAGGAACTGTTCTTTTTTATTGTTCCATAAAAAGTAATTCGGTGTTACAAGTGCTAACCACATCCTGTAAGATAATCAGGATAATCCTAATGACATTTTCTTACCATAATTTTATTTAAACATTTATTTGTTAATAATTTCTAGAAATAAAAATGTGTAAAGTAAAAAAAAAATAATTCTGTCCTCAAATTTAATTTAATTTTCTAATCAAATTTATTAAAAAAAAAGTTTAATTTCAATTATTTTATAAATTTACTTTTCTTCACTTATTCTATAATTGAAATGTTTTTTTTTTGGAATAATTTATTATTGTTATTTGTTTAAATTAATACATTTTGTTTATCTTCTTGAATGATATTGAAATGAAAACCCATTTGCTTTATTGCAATAAACATCAAACACAGATGGTTGGATGTGTTTTGCGGCCCTTAAATATTCATACCGTTTAGGCCGATTGAATAATTCGCGAAAGTAATCAGCTATTTTACGCGTCCAACGCTAATCACTCGATATTGATTCATACGAACCAATAAATTCATCCATAAAATGATCAATTTACTTTCTCCAATTTTATTAAATTACGTTTTTTTTTCCTTTTCTTCAATAAACATTCATTTAAACATTGTTTAAAAATGAATAAAACAACACAATAAATTCAATTTAGAAATGAACGAAAGTTCTAAATTACAAAATAATCATCAAACTTTTTTTTTAAACTTGTTATCAAAACTGATTTTTGTTACGTTGAATAATCATGCATTATTTATACACATACTTGATGCAAACACTAATAATTAATTTAACATATTCACAGATATTGCATACAAAAAAAAAGGAATTGAGTTGATTCGATTCGTATCGTGCACTTTACATAACGACGTTACGAGTGAAAGCATTTGCATAAAGCTGCATGTTTCATTAAACAAGATTAATTGATTGATACATTCTCAAATCTCTTAACGATTTTATTCTTAAAGTTGGGTATATGTGTTTTTATTATTATTTTTTTTTTATGTTGGATGTATGTGTTTTCTTTTGTTTTTTTTTGTAAGATTAGGAAGCGTTAACGAGTTTATATGCAAAATGTAAGCATCCCTTGCACCGGGGGTTGCGGTTAGTAAAGCCGTGCTAGAACTAACTACATCTGGTGAGTAATGCATGAGAGAACGATCGCGAGCTCAGGTGGGACATCAATGATGCATCGCTTTCTCCACTCTCTGTTGACAAACACACACAGTTTGTGTGTGTGTGTGTTTCTCTCTCTCTCTCTCTTACACAAAAACATTCCAGAAAAGACGAACCGAGAAGATACAAACGCAGAAGATTTCATAACTTCCTTCCAGACGTGGAAATAACGTCCGCATTAAGAAATAAATGTATTAAGGGATGATCGCAAATTGATAAACGTGGGGAGGATGATCCTGTTGCATTTTAAGGGATGTTTTTTTTTTCGGTGTACTTGTTTTTGGATGGAAGGAAGGAAGGATGTTTTTTTTTTTGTGGGAAGGCGCAACCGGCTTAAAAGCCAAATTACGATCTAACTGCGAGCGCGAATTACGTCGGCGAAAGTGGAATTAAAAACTTGAAGTGCACGAGGGTTGAGAGATGAA